AGATCTTAAATTGGTATCGTAACGGCTGGCAGTGGCTGTAGGGAAGAACACAAATGTCCTGGAACCAAGCTCTTGGACAAACAACCAGTATGCAGCCTCATGCGAGTAGCCCAGTCGCCAATTTATGGTGGGTGAGGGTTATGGCTTGGTGTATGTCCTTCAAAGACATGACTCCGCTTCGCTAAACATAACTTTATTCACACACACCATATTTTTAACACAACTATCATAACATAACAGAAAACTACTACACAAAAATTCATACATCCTATGCTCGAACTAAAGGTGAAGTTGGCGAGATCACCATCGCGCTGGCAGTTTTTTACGTACACAACATGACGTGGTTTGGCAGCGTGCGCAACCGAACACCAGACTGCCGCGGAGTATCCCCCAGTGACACAGTCACAACACAAAAGGGTCTGGCTGCAAACTTCCAGTTTAAGATATACACATTCACATAACAGTTTTACTTCAAAATGTACATACAAAAAAGAAGAAATACAAACAGAAGCTCTTACGAAATACATAACAGAAAACTACTGCGTACAAATTACACTCGAGCTAAAGGCGAGCTCACCGTCGTGCTGACAATTTTTTATGTACACAACACGACATGGCCTGGTGGCGCACGTAGCCGAACATCAGACTGCCACATTACTATATTCAAGGGATGTCTTTGGTAGCATATAAAAGGAAAAGACTTTATATGACTCCAAATATCACTCACGAGTGCTGGTAAATTTCAGTTTTCTCACGTCTTTTATTTTCCCACCATAAACGTTTTAAGACATCTTTAACTGTGTCATAATTACTGCCAAGAGCATGATGCCCAACTAACTAATCATGGAACTGTGTTTTCATATGATTGATCTGAATTGTTTTTTGAAAATGAACTAATGTTTCTTCATCCAAGATACTAGTAGATTTTCTTGCGATAGTATCTCTTACTCCTAAAGTCTACGAGTCTCAAAATTTTATCACATCAAAATTCTAAAGCTACTAGATTAATAGCAGCACTTTTTATTTTTTTTTTTTTTTTTTTTTTTTTTTTTTTTTTTATTTTTATTTTTTTTTTTTTTTTTTTTTGACTAATCTTAATATACACCATCCTAATTTTGTTTTGATTTTTGAAAATTTCTTACTTTCCCTGTAAATAATTCTAGTACATCAATCAGCTTAAGCAGTATTCATATTGGTGGTTTTCCTGAACCATTATCTGTGTTGACTTACTTCCTTGAGCAGTGAACTCTGTAATTAACTCCATGTTCTTAATCATCGGTAGATTTGTATATATTTTTGGTTGATCAGGAAAAGACACTTGGCAAGAAAAATTAATCACCAATGCTTTCTAAATGAATATCATAAAAGCAAGGAACACTTCTGTTGTCTTTCCTTCTCCAAAAAGTCCTTGAGATAATATCTCCTTTCCAATGGAAGAAAATTGTACTTTTGTGAAAGCTTCTTCGATATAAAAATGGTGAAATCCATCGTGTAAAAATGCTCTTACATATTTAATTCCACCTTTATCTCTAATACTGAGTATAAGGGTTTTCAAATATATTTTCCTGGGTGATTGCATAGTAAAAAGAGAACTCTTTTTTTTTTTTTTTTTTTTGTTCTGTTTTGTACTACTCCCTTTTACTTAAATCCAAACATAATAAAGCATAGTGTCTTCAACTGCAAGTAATACACTTTACAGAACTACAGCATGTTTTCACCAGATGTCCCCTTTCAAACATATAAATATGTAAACAGCATTTTTTTTTTTTTTATTACTACTGCTTTCTGCTCATCCAAAGACATTTGAGTGCTCTTCACGCAGTCTGTACTGTTGTAAGTTGTATCACAAAAAATACAGCCTAACTTAGTCAGTTATTGCCATAAAATGAAACGAGAGTAGATGCTGATAGCATATCAGTAAATCTGGGGCTGAACTTTTAACTGTTGTGTGTGAAGCGAAACCAGATTCTGCTGAAGCACAATGCTCTTCCCTTCAACTGCATTTCTTAGAAAAATCATTAATTCTAACTGTATTCTAACACTATTTGTATGTATTAGCTTATAATTTAAAATATTTTGCTTTCGTACTCTCATTAATGATGTAAATATCATCTTAATGAATAGAAGTTCATGAAAACAGAGACTAAAATCAGTAATTATACAAATTTAGCCAGGGAATGCTATTGAAATGCAAGTATTCATGAGCAGTTAAAAAAGCAGTGCCATTCAGAGGGTTAAAAACATAATCATCATTCTGAACAATCTATTAAAATGTAAGTGGACAAATTCCTGTGTTTATTTTGTTGCCAAAGTAAAAATAAGGACGAAACTATTATTTATTTTAACATGGATAGTAAGAATGTCAGTTTGTAACAGCTTTGTCAATTTGGAGCAACAAATTTCTGTATTCATTATTGAAGCTAACTACTGGGTTATGCTGTAACAGAGTTGCCAACTCTCCCGATTTAAGCGGGAGACTCCCGCTTTTCGACCGCTCTCCCGCCAACCCGACTTACAATATATTTCTCCCGACTTTTTCTTATTCTTAAAATTTCTCACGACTTTTATGCAACTTGGCTTAATACTTTGTTATATGAATAAAAACAAAGTGCTTTGGATGTCTGAAAGCAATTGAATTATTCTACATTATATCTAAAAACAAAAACTTGCTAATCAGATAGCTTCTGCTTTGTGAGTGAGAGCATTATACGTATCCAGAAACGTCGTTCTCTTCTCCGGTTCTCCAATGGGCTTCGAGCTCCACTGCGTGTCAGCTGGCTATATTAGCCAATGAGGACAAAGTAGTTTGTTATTTGGACGTGCTTTAGTTATTTCTTTCATTTTGTCCAGAGTTGTGTGAGTACACGTGCCGTAGGGAAATAGTTTTAGAAATTATCATCTTTTGTTATGTCTGCGAGAAAGTGAAATACTCGTGTACGTTTCAAAATCGTACACAGTTGACTTTCATTCCATTATTTCCTCAAAGAAAGTAATAAATTTGCGATGTGTACCGCCCGTCGTTGCGATTTTTCGATTTCGCTGGTGGAAGGCGGATGTTCTCAAACCTGTACGTACGCAAAAAACAAGGATAACATGAGTTGTTTTTTTAAAAAACGAAAATTAAATTTTTCTTCGGAACAAAGGACCAAAAAGTTATTAATGCAGAATGTCTGTTCTCTGCCTTTTTACTGGAGCACATCCTGCCACTGAATGCATCGGATCACGCTGCAGCTTTATTTAGAAAAATGTTTCCCGATAGTGAAATCGCTAAAAAATATACTCAAGGTGCAAGAATCAAAACAGGATCAATTGTTAAAGAAATGGGTTTGAAAAATAAATCTTCAGTTATTGATAGCATTAAAACAGCTCCTTCTGCCTCTCTACGGATGGAAGTAATAATACCGATTCAAAACTGTATCCAATTGTTTCTTTTTTTGATCCAGAGTCTTCAGAAATTGAGTGCAGTTTACTTTATGTTCCTACTTTAGAAGGACATTTGACAAGCTTTAATATAGCCACAGCTAATTATTAAACTTTAGAAAGAAAATGCAGGCCCTCTGGATAATTGCTTAGCACTTGGTGCCGATAATGCATACCAGTATTGGTAGGCTTGGAACACTGGTGTTGCAGGCATCTTCAGAAAAGGAAAATTCAGATGTGCAGATTATGAGTTGCACCTGTCACCTCTTAAATTTAGCAACTGAAAAACGGGCAGCTTCTTTACCAATAAATGTGGATCAACACATCCTGTTGGTATTTATTATATCTTGAAAGGTGTTCTAAAAGGAAGGAAAAATTGAAACAATCCATCCAAGTCTTCATTCAAGTTTTCTAATTGTAACAGCTGCATAACAGCAGTTTACAATTAGAAAACTTGGATGAAGTTATAAATCAGCTAGGATTGACACCCAGTGGAGTTTAATTGGAAAAGTGAAAGGTGCTGATGGAACTGTAAAATATAGTGAACTGTCTAGGAATTGTGTTACCATCTTGACAGTTCCCTATAGTAATGCAGAGTGTGAGAGGATTCTCAGTGTTGTTGCGAGAACGAGGACTAAATTAGATCTAATATTAGTGAGACACATTCGAAAAACTTTTATTAGCGAAAACAGGCCTACGTGGCAATTGCTGTGAACAAAATTATGAAGTTTCTTTCTTAAAGAAAGCAAATCTGCCACCGTTTATAACATTTGTACGAAAACTAAAATGTCTTTTTTTTTTTTTTTTTTTTCCTTAAATGATGCAAGTAATAAAAATGTTTTTTATGTGTAAGGTATTTTTTTGTTGCTTGCATTTAAGAGTTAGTTACTATTTAAAGTTAATTCATTATTAAAAACTATATTTTTATCATTTAAAAAGTCTTTTTAACATTGTGAAAAATCTCCTGATTTCTTAAAAAAATCTCCTGATTTTTGAGTGTCATAGGTTGGCAAGTATGCTGTAAATTACTTTTGTACCTGTCTCGAAATAAATATTTTCTCAAAATTTACTGAGCCTACAACTGTTGTCATTGTTTCAGTCAACCAAAATGCAGTAACAAGAATTTTGGTTGCATGAACTGAGGAAGAGCAAAAATATATGTAAGGGCACCAAATTATCAACCATATACTGCAAGCTATGCTAAGCTATGTGATTCAAACATAATTTAATCCTACTTTATTCAAATAGCCGCAATGAGTAGTAATGCATCCTAAAGGAATTATTAGAGTTTCCATTACTATTTGCAAGAACTCAAGCTGCTTTATTTAATACTATTCTATTTCCAGTGCTAAATTGCTGTGAAAATTTTATGTATTGATGTTGATGTAGTTTTTGCTGTAATTTAAAATCTCATTTAACTGTTAAAATCTGCTCATATGCTTTAGTTTGAGACTAAAACAAAACTGAACAACTGTTGATCACGTATTGAACAAGTTAATGATCTGAGATACTGTTTTATATTTATTTAAACTCTATATTATGTATGAAATGTATTTTCATTTCCTGTTTTAAAATTTTAGCGTTTAAAAGAATTGAAGCAAAGAGAGTTTGGACGAAATGTAGTTTCAAAGTGGAAGAAGGAAGATAAGAAAAAAGAACGAGAAGCCAAGAGATTACATGAACTTGCTGAAATGCGTGCCCAAGCAGCTGAAATGAGGCTAGTAGATATTTTAATACTATTATTCATAGAAGAAATAGTGTTTTCTGTTTGTAAAGCAGTAAATCATAAGCAAATTGTATCTGAGCTTGTTTTAGAGCAATAGGTATATTTTTTAGTTTATTGCAGGATATTGGTAAAAAAATTACAAAAAAAAAAAAAAATCAGTTACAAATAAATTAAGAAGTAATCCAAAAAGTAATTTATTAAAAGATCATTTGTATGAAAATTAATTTAAAATTACTCAAATAATAAAATGTCTAGTTAAATAGCCCACTTCATAAATATGAAAAGCAGTTTTCTTCAGTATGAGGTAAAAATTGAAGTAGTCCTATAAAGTTTATTCACTGTAATCATAAAATGGTGCATAGTGACTGACAGATGAAGCATGATGCCAGAAACGGATTAAAAATGATAACATAGAGATTGGGAGGAGGAAGCAAACAATGTGAAAGGTGCTGATAATAGACTTGATGCATTGTACAGGGTGTGAGTTATAATATTATATGCAATTCTTCTGTAAACATCTGTATATTTAGTAGATTAGTGGGTAATAATTAGTATTTTATCAACCATAAAACCATTAAGAGTCTTGTGAATTTGTATTATCTTGAAACTGTAAATGTAGCATACTTTAAAAATCTCGTACAATATGTATATGTGTGTGTGATATTTTAAAATGTGTCCATTTATTCAGAATTGCCAAAGTATTGATTATTACCTATTAACCTACTATTTTAGTTGACTTCTGAATATTTTTACAAGAGAATTGTGTACAAAATTATAACTCAAGCTTGTGAAATGGAACAGCGTGGTAAGTTCATCACCTGCATCTTATATGTTGTCTTCACCCTTTTTCTCTGTTATCATCTCCAGTCTGCCAGTCTTAGCTCATTGTTTTGTGCTTATAGTGGATATTCCCATGAAGAACTTTTTAATGTCAATAGACCTTAAAAAAATCTGTCAAAGTTGTCCTAACTTTAGAATCCGTAGTTTTTTTTTTTTTTTTTTTTTTTTTAAACAGTTTTTGGTTTTTAAAAGCACTTAATTTTGTCCAAAACTTGTCAATGGTTCTTAATTTATCCACTGGGTGGCTGATCAATGGAGGACTGTTGTCTTTATGGATGAATCCAGGTTTAGCATCCAAAGTGATAATAGGTGTTACTTGATTTGGAGATAACCTGTATCCCATTATCATCCATCAAACATCCATGAAAGAGATGCATACAGAGGAGGCAGTGTCTGTGTTTGGGGTGATATCTCTTTGGGTGGATGCACAGGCCTCCGTGTCTTTCCATGTGAAACCATGAATGCTTAGACCTATAGAGATGACATTCTTGATGCTTAACAGGTGATAATTTCCTGCTACAGAACAACAATGCTAGACCACTCAGAGCTTGCACTGTGGTTGATTATTTTATCAAGCATGTTTGGAATGCTTTAGGAAGACATGTAGCTTCTCTGAATCCTTCTCTTCAGATCCTTGCCACACTTGTAACTGCTTTACTAGAGCAATAGTTCTCACATCCTATGGAACTGATAGACTACGTAATTGACAACATAACATATCACATTGCTTCTAAGGGAGTTCATACTCCAAATTGAAGAGGATTTTTCTTGTGCTAAACTAATACACCCAATTTGCTCCATTTTATACACATGCTAATTTTTATAGTACCATAATTATCTGGTATAATGGTTGCAATCTGCACTCCCATCCTGATTACATTTTTATCTTTTCTGCATCTTATGATAATACAATGGATGAAAGAGAGAGGTGCATGACTACATGTTCACAGAACAGAAAGCAAGAATAGGAATATGACATGTCCAAAATGAAAGTTGAGTTTCACTTCGCAGTGTTCCCATCGATTAATAAAAGGTTTTGGTACTGCTGTTTAATGTCTTGATTTCCATATTTGAAATCATAGTCATTATTACTAGATAAAGCCTTTATTTAAAAGCCTGCATCATTAGTGTTAGGTAAGAATTATATGCTGGATTAATTTGGGAAGAATGAGGTTTAGAGAGATTTATTTTAAGCAGCTTCTATTTTTAGGATAGGAGGAAAAAAAATAGCCAAATTAAAATTGAGAGTTAAGGGACTATATCAAATCAAAATTAGAATTTTTCTGGGCATTTTTTTTTTTTTTTTTATCTACATACACATATAAGAAAGTTATAAATTGATTCAAAGACCATAAGTTGACAGTTAAAGTGCTGTAAATCTATTTTTTTCTGATCAGTTGAGATTTCTGTTGCTAAAAATATCATTATCTGCAACACTACTTAATCACCCTCTGTATTGTTTCACTTTTAAACATGTACCAAATAATCAGCCACATTTTCTTTTTGCCCTTAAGTAATTATGCATCTATCTATTTTATCTCTGTACACAGTAAATGAAGCCTGAAGATTATGTTAGTGTGGAGTGGAATGTTCCATATACCGGTTTTCTTTTGTTGGCGTTCGTGAAAGAAGAAACAAAGAATTCGGATTTATTTAAAAAACTCAACTATCATTGCAAGTTGCTTTCTTTCTTAACTTTCTAATTTGATCTAGCTCACTTTTTTGTTCGGTTTTTTAATATTACTGCTGTTGTATTAAAATTAAAGATTTAGTAAAAGATAATTTATTCATTTTACTCTTTCCTGAAAACTGTGAACTGAACCAGTGGATATGAGGATTTTGCGAACACTGAAATGCTGTTTTATATTCATTGCAACAACAGTATCATTCAAGAATTCTTGAAATATTTTAATACAAAAGCTGCTGTGTGGAGTATTGCATGGTCATAAAAGGTAAAGTCTGCTGATATTTTTTAAAATTCAGCTACCATATTTCATCATGATAATAATAGCCATGAATTTGAATGTTTTTCAGATATCACTAGTAAAAAGTGAAATCTTCTGATTTTTGGAATATGTAAAGAGATGCTAAATGAAGCTGATGTAACTGAAGTCTTCCATTATGAAGTTAAGATTCTAAATATGAAATTACAGACTAAAAAAATTGATTGTATAATTTTTTAAATCTAGAAAATATCGCCCCTTCAGATTAAAGTCACATTTTAATTTCACAATGTAGTTATTCAGAGTCTTTCTTTGTTTGAAACACCATTTTCTTGATGAAATTGGTTTCCATTTTTGTATATCTAAGCAAACCCCAAATCATAAAAAAAATTTCAGGAGCTGGAAAAGAAAAAAAGTAGTGACTAGATGAAAAACATAGTTCTGTCAAGAAATAAGGCAACCAAACTGGTGATGCCTAGCATGGAGAAAATAATGGCAAACAGAAATGTTCAGTATGGTATGGCTTTAATCCAACAGATTTGCAAAACTTTCGAGTTAATGAAATATGAAAAGAGATGCTAAATGAAGATGATGCAATGAAGTCTTCATTGTGATGGCAACAATCCAATCACAAATCATTTAACAGATTACAGTATCAGCAAAAAAATATTTCGCTGATAATGTAGAAACCAATAAAGAGAACATTATTGAGAATGAAAAGATTTCATTTAACTATTTAGTGGGATAACTTAATTTAGCAATTACAGGACTTGAGCGAAACTTAAAACTGTCTATACAATTGAAGAGAAAATATTAACACACACACACACAATATATATACAATCAAAAGTCGTTAATTCGGACACCCATAATCCGGACCTCAAAGCTTGCGCATGCGCCGCGTCGACACATGCGCATAGGTGTTTACGCGTGCGCGTAAGACTTTTTACGACTGCGCATATGCGTGTGTGCAAGTGCAGAATACGTTTTCGCGTGCGCATTTTATGTATAACAGCCGGTATAAGCTAAAATTATCTAATTATCTGTTTCAGTTAATGTTGATGATTGCGTTGTTCCTTAATCTTCGAATTGGATCCGGCTTATTATTTTTTGCAGACGAGCAATTTTATAAAAGTAAACTTGGAACTTTCGATTATGTCAAATAGAATTTCTGATTCTGGAGCTCCCAAAGGATCGTACAAAACGAAAGTATGTTTCGATGTCCATCAAACAAAAAGTGGAATTGCTGCAAAAAATGGATAAAGACATGAAGAATGTGACAGAGAGGTTAGTGAAAATGAAAAAATTTCAATTGACAAGTTAGTCGGTATTCTCGGCACAGCAATTAACGGGACTTGAACAGCGGAACTTTGTAACTGAACAAGAAATTATGTCTGTTTATAGAATTAAAGAGAAAGTATTATCACATAAAACGAAGCAACTTAAACAACTTACATTGAAAGAAATGTTTAATAAAGTAAACAAATAAATATTAAGCCTTTTTTTTTTTTTTTTTTGTTTGTTTGTTTGTAAATTTTGATACCCTTTAGATCATAATTGTTCTTTATTTCATAAATTACGGTTTCATATTTTTAATTTTAGAATTTCTGCATGCCATCTTACGAGATTTAAACTGATGATCTATAATCCGGAATCGGCGAAGTCCCGACGAGTCCGGATTAACGACTTTTGACTGTATATATATAATTGAAGGGAAAATACACACCCCCCCAAAAAGAGGCTTAAGCTAAGTTTCATAAGATAAATTTTAATATTTTGTTAAATTTGCCTCCTTTAAGATCATAAATGCTTTTTTATTTCATAAAAAAGTGATTTCAGACTTTTAATTTTAAAATTTTTATGTCATTTTACAAGATTTAATGTTTTAAAAGCTGAAAATTCCAGAATCCCGAATTGCCCAATTCCTATATATATATATATATATATAATGTTGAATGATCTAAAATTCTCCTACGTCCCATAAATTACTTCTCACAAGTTTCACCATCTGAAATAACTCAAAGTATCCCTGCTGCCGATAACGGAATTTTGGACACACACCTCTTCTGAATAAGACACAGAGAACACTTTACTGACATCTCACTAGAAAGAAATACTCATGAAAAAGTTAATTAATGTACGAGGGCCATCCAGGAAGTAGATTACGTTTCCGTCTGTGTCCGCTAGGGGCGGGGCTAGCGCGGCCATCTTGGGGTCAGAGCGTTGCGCAGCTCAGTCTGCATCTAGCCGTGCTAGTGAGAGGTTCGTGCTGTGCTCCGTTCAGATACTGTGACGGTTTGAAATGTCTGCGTTAATTGAAAATCCCGCGAGGTGCGCCAGTAGTAATAAGGTTTCTGACTGCAAAAAACTGTAAACGATAGAAATCTATCGGCGCAGCTTCGTGAAGTGTATGGGGACGACATTATCACTGAAGGTGGGAGTGCGTCAGTGGGTCATAAGATTTCAAAATGGCCGAACCAATGTTCACGACGAAGATCGAAGTGGGAGACCCAGCATAGTGACCGCCGAACTTCTCGAAAAAAGTCGATGCTAAGTCCGTGAAAATCGAAATTTCACAATAACGGAACTTTCTTTGAGTTTTCCACAAATTTCGCGAAGTTTGTTGCACGAAATCATCAGCGAAAAGCTTGGTTACCACAAGTTTTGTGCAAGATGGGATTCCAAAATCTTGACAGAGACCACAAAAATCAGCGAATGGCTGCAGCGTTGAACTTTTTGGACGCTTACCATAAGGATGGTGACTCTTTACTCGATCGCATCGTTACTGGTGACGAAACATGGGTGAAACATGTGAACTGTGAAACGAAATTGCAATCAATGCAGTGGGGGCACACACAAGTTCTCCCCAAAAACCCAAGAAATGCATGCAAACAATGTCGGCAAGGAAGATGATGGCGACTGTTTTTGGGACAGAAAAGGTGTAATTTTGGGGACTTCCTGGAAAGAGGCACTACAATAAACTCTCAAAGGTATTGCCAAACTCTCCAAAAATCAGAAGAGCAATTCAAAAACAAGCGCAGAGGAATGTTGAGCTCTAAGATCTTGTTGATTCACGACAACGCCCGGCCCCACACACGGCAAATGTCACTCGTAAAGTTCTTGAATCTTTTAAGTGGGAGTTGTTTCCTCATCCGCCGTACAGTCCCGACCTGGCACCGAGCGACTTCCAACGACGCACAGCTGCAAGAAGAGGTAACGAAGTGGTTGAAGGCGCAGGCGGCCGAATTTTTCGACGAAGGAATTTCCAAGCTCGTACATCGCTACGATAAATGCCTTAATTTGTATGGTGACTATGTAGAAAAGTAGTATTTGAGTGTGGCTTTCATCTGTATATAATAAAATTTGTTTCCTATACTTTGTTTATTTTTTTATTCCAAAACGTAATCTACTTTCTGGATAGCCCTCGTATTTTTTGACCTTTTATATATTCATTTACATTTCACATTTTACTTTCTTATTATATATTTCAATTTTTATTTGATTTGTTTTTGCAAAGTTGCATTGTTATGTTTCTTAATTTTCTCATGTTTATTTCAATTACTTTGAGTTCTATTTCTTTTTATACAAATAGTCTTGAATGAACATGCATAAAATCAAAGGTGTTGGGGGACATTTATTCAAGTATTTACTAAATTTTCCTATAGCTTTTCACTCAAAATTTATAAAGAATCTTGTGTTAGCAAAAATGCTTCATTCAGAATGAGGTCTTTGGTACTCTACTTTGGTTATAAATCACATCACTTCACGATACTACAATTTTGGCCTAACTTAATTTGCCGGTTTGGCATAATCATTCTTACCTGAGTAAAAGACGAAACACATTCATATTTATTAATTATTGTTCATTGAACAGGAGTTGATTTGTTCCCCTTGAAAAGTCAACTAATTTACGATCAATAGCGATAATTACTTGTTTTTAATTTTTAATTTCTTTTTCAAAGTCCCCGTTAACCTTTTTTCCATAATTTACATTCAAGTTACTTACAAAACGCAATTTTCGGAATTAAACTTCCTACATATGGGCTCCCTCTTTTTTGATACCTGTGCTAAATTTATATTAGGAGATAATATAATCAATATTTCATTAGTAAATAAATTATATAAATATATATATATATCCACGTACCCCCTCTCCAGGCACACATAATAGAATTCTGATAATCCACACTCCTCTGGACAAAGGATTGTGAGGATTAGTAAATTTTCCAGAACATGGGTCATGTCTTTGATTTAGTTTACATTTTCCCCTTTTTACATTAAATTGTGTACACATAAATAAGTAACAAAAATCATACTTTACAGAATTATCTATATTATATTTTTAAAATATGGAAAGTACAAGAGGAAAACATTGTTAGGAAGAAGAGATAATTGATAGGGATTTTTTTTTTTTTTTTAATAACTGTTTTATAAAAACACATCAAAATATTTTCTGCAAAAAAAAAAAAATTGTATAGCCACTCGAAAAGTTATTTTAAAAATAGCTTTTGTGCTCTTAAATGAAAATAAAACTAGTTAACTAAATACACTGTTTACAGAAACATTGGCAGCACCTTTCCCGACCCCCCTAAATTCACACCCTATCTAAATTCACAATTATTTCTGTTTATGTGATATTGAATTAATTACATAACAAACAGGTTACAAGTGCTAAAATTGAAATTTTGATTTTTATTAAAAAATATTTCTGCTTTTTTATATCACTGTTACCATGTTATTGACTTAATTATTATTAGTAGTATAGTTTTTGATATGATGCCACTTAAATCTTCGTGAGGTTTGTTTTTAAGAACCTTTCTTTTTTGGCTGGTCATATAAGTAAATGGCATTTTTTATGCGGTTTGTAAACAGACCAGTTACAAACCAATGTTCAGTTAAAACTTCGGACCTAAAAAACTGTGAATAAGTAAATTCTTTGCGCACGTAAAAACAGAAACTTGAAATTAATATTAAAACAGTGGAAACACTTAACTGGAGTGAACACTCAGAAGTACTGATTTATCTAAAACATGTGTAATTTTCTATTAAAAAAAGTCGTACAGGAAATATTATAGAATTTTAATAACTACTTAAATTAATTTTTTAGCAAAATATATTCATACTTTTATTTGTTCATTTATATTAGAAAAAAATATTGTTAAATTTGTTAGTATTATTTGTATTTACATGCATTAGAAAAGTATATTAGAAAAAATTACCATTACGTGTATCCTGTATGTAAGTGAATTTTCTAAAAAAATCAAAATTTGGCTGAATTATCAGTATGCGT